TATTTTGCTTGCACTTTACCAATCGTTAAGTTCATTTCTCGGATAGTAGTTCTATATCTCTTACTGCTCAGCCTTGGAGTTTTATTAGCTGCAGTTATCATGAAGATAAGACTGATGAATATCTGATAAGCCTTTTTATTTGTTTATTTATTCAGTGCGTGCATTTCTGCTTATATTCTGTATCCACTATTTTTGCTGATATTATTATCGCTGAGCTGAAATCTCCATTGCAAAAGATTCACCTACTTTGCTTATGATCGACTCAGGCTATCATTGCCCTGAAAAAGGGAGCTTACTTGTTAAAGTATGGAAGAAGAGGGAAGCCTAAGTTCTGCCCATTTCGCCTTTCTAATGTAAGTCGTTTTTTGGTTCCATTTCCTTTATTTTCTTGTCAGCAGTGTCCTACGGTGATATTTTATTTTGTTATCTTTCTTTCACAAATTAATTTACACGTAGTTCATTGTTTGGTGTTTAAAAACTAGTTGCCTGTAATTTTCAGGATGAAACTGTATTGATATGGTTCTCCGGAAAGGAGGAGAAACATCTGAAGCTGAGCCATGTTTCTAGAATCATATCTGGACAACGCACTGTAAGTTCATGTGTGGATGATGTGGTTTTAATTCTCCCTTGAGCTTGCAATGAAATATTTAGAAGGAGTTCATGAGGACTGTATAATCCATTCGCCATGGACTTCTTTTATTGGGTCGGATCTCTGTTCCTCCAGAGGATGTGTTCTTCGTTTGGTTATTTATGTTGTAGTGCCAAAGTTGCGGTTTGTTCTCCTTGGATTAAAGTGTGGTTTTATGATTGTTACAGTAGCTGCATGTTATATACCAGGACGCATGTTGTGTTTTTATCGTCTATTTAGTTTTATGTCTCACTATCGTAAGGCATTTCATTCTTGCCTTCATCGTGATCTTTTATGCAATTTTTCATGTGTCAGTTTCCTTAGTCCGAGGGTGCATATTTGTGCCGGACCCATCTAGTGTGATATTCTGATAATTCTAGCAATTGTGGCTCTCTTGTAGCCTATTTTTCAAAGGTATCCTCGTCCCGAGAAGGAATATCAGTCTTTTTCACTAATATATGGCGAGAGGTCTTTGGATTTGGTGAGACTTTCTTAAACCCTTTACTTTTTTTTTGCTTCCGTTTTATAATAATCACCCTGTCATTGAAAATGTCACTGGTTATTTGAAGTTAATTAATCTGGTGGTAGGATTTTATTTGGTAGATTTGCAAGGATAAAGATGAGGCTGAGGTGTGGTTTAGTGGTCTTAAAGCCTTGATTTCGCATTGCCATCAAAGAAATAGGAGGACTGAATCAAGAAGTGATGGGACACCATCTGAAGCTAACAGCCCCAGGACATATACCCGGAGAAGCTCTCCATTACACTCTCCATTTAGTAGCAATGACAGTTTGCAGAAGGTACTAGAAAAACTTTTCCGTGTACACTTTTATGCATTTTAACACTAATGACATTTTCATGTATCTTTCAGGATGGTTCTAATCACCATCGCATTCACAGTCCATTTGAGAGCCCGCCTAAGCTTGACAAGGCATTATCGGACATGGCATTATATGCAGTTCCTCCAAAAGGATTTTATCCCTCAGATTCTGGAACTATTTCTGTTCATTCTGGAGGCTCAGATAGCATGCATGGACATATAAGGGGTATGGGCATGGATGCTTTTAGAGTTAGTATGTCAAGTGCTGTTAGTTCTTCAAGCCACGGTTCTGGTCATGATGATGGAGATGCACTAGGAGATGTTTTCATCTGGGGAGAAGGCATAGGAGAAGGTGTTTTGGGTGGTGGAAACCGCAGAGTTGAAAGTTCTTTTGACATAAAAATGGATTCCTTATTGCCAAAAGCTTTAGAATCTACAATAGTACTTGACGTCCAAAATATTGCTTGTGGTGGACAGCATGCTGTCCTTGTGACAAAACAAGGAGAAAGTTTTTCTTGGGGAGAGGAATCTGAAGGCAGGCTTGGCCACGGTGTTGATTCCAATATTCAACATCCAAAGCTCATCGATGCACTTAACACCACAAATATTGAGCTTGTAGCATGTGGTGAATTCCACAGTTGTGCAGTTACTCTATCAGGGGATTTGTATACCTGGGGTAAAGGAGATTTTGGTGTTCTTGGACATGGAAATGAAGTCAGTCACTGGGTCCCTAAAAGGGTTAATTTTCTGCTGGAAGGGATTCATGTATCATCCATCGCTTGTGGACCTTACCACACTGCAGTCGTGACATCTGCTGGACAGTTGTTTACTTTTGGTGATGGGACCTTTGGTGTTTTGGGCCACGGGGACAGGAAAAGTGTTTTCATACCTCGGGAGGTTGACTCTTTGAAAGGCCTTCGCACTGTCCGGGCAGCATGTGGTGTATGGCACACAGCAGCAGTTGTGGAAGTCATGGTTGGGAGCTCGAGCTCGAGTAATTGCTCTTCTGGAAAGCTCTTTACATGGGGTGATGGTGATAAGGGTCGTCTTGGTCATGGTAATAAAGAACCAAAGCTGGTGCCTACCTGTGTTGCTGCTCTTGTTGAACCCAATTTTTGTCAAGTTGCATGTGGGCACAGTTTAACGGTTGCACTTACAACATCAGGCCATGTCTATACTATGGGCAGTCCTGTCTATGGTCAGCTTGGAAACTCACATGCAGATGGAAAAGTTCCAAACCGTGTCGAAGGTAGACTTCACAAGAGTTTTGTCGAAGAGATTGCCTGCGGTGCTTATCATGTTGCGGTTTTAACTTCGAGGACAGAGGTTTACACTTGGGGAAAGGGATCAAATGGCAGACTTGGTCATGGGGATGTAGATGATAGAAATTCCCCGACATTGGTAGAGTCGCTTAAGGATAAACAGGTGAAAAGTATTGCCTGTGGCACTAGCTTTACAGCAGCTGTCTGCATTCACAGGTGGGCGTCAGGGATGGACCAGTCCATGTGTTCAGGTTGCCGTCAGCCGTTCAATTTTAAGAGAAAGAGGCACAATTGCTATAACTGCGGACTAGTGTTTTGCCACTCGTGCAGTAACAAAAAGTCGCTGAAGGCTTGTATGGCACCGAACCCGAACAAACCATATCGAGTGTGTGACAAGTGTTTTAACAAATTGAAAAAGACCATGGAAACTGATCCATCGTCTCATTCTTCCCTGAGTAGAAGAGGCAGCATTAACCAGGGATCAGATCCCATTGACAAAGATGACAAGTTTGATTCTAGGTCCGATGGACAGTTAGCTAGATTTTCATTGATGGACTCCATGAGACAAGTGGACAGTCGATATAAGAAGAACAAGAAATACGAGTTCAATAGTAGCCGTGTCTCGCCGATTCCTAGTGGAAGCTCTCAACGGGGTGCGCTTAACATAGCCAAGTCCTTCAATCCAGTATTTGGAGCATCAAAGAAGTTCTTCTCAGCTTCTGTTCCTGGTTCTCGAATTGTGTCTCGGGCAACTTCCCCAATATCAAGACGTCCCAGTCCACCTCGTTCAACTACACCAACTCCCACTCTTTCAGGACTAACCACACCAAGAATTGTTGTGGATGATACTAAGAGAACCAATGATAATCTAAGCCAAGAGGTTGTTAAGCTAAGATCTCAGGTGAGTTTTCTCTTATTTTACATAATTATTCACACGTTTCTTTGATACAAAAATACATAGCTGGTGAGTGGTGAGATTATGCAATTACGTTTGTGTCAATCTGTGTTTCCTGATCACGGTCAATTACGTTCTGGATTTCAATATGTTGATGAGATCATATGCAACTCGAAGCGAATTTAATTAATTACTTTCTCTTTATGATTGCTTCTATGCTAACAACTAAATGATCAGGTTGAAAGTCTTACAAGGAAGGCCCAGCTCCAAGAAGTTGAGCTGGAAAGAACAGCCAAGCAGGTCAAAGAGGCGTTGGCAATCGCTAGCGAAGAAACGACAAGATGCAAGGCAGCAAAAGAAGTGATCAAATCACTCACCGCTCAAGTAATTTCAAAGCTAAATATATAAATATGGTTTATGCAATTACGAAGAAATATCTTATGACTGATTATAACCATGAACGAAACTATGCAGCTGAAAGACATGGCAGAAAGATTACCCGTTGGATCAGCTCGAACTGTGAAGTCTCCTCCGTCTCTTAATTCATTTGGTTCAAGCCCTGGTCGCATCGACCCTTTTAATATCTTAAACCGACCAAATAGTCAAGAACCCGAGCCAAACGGCATAAATACCCCAATGCTTTCTAATGGGTCCATGACACCTGTGTTTGGAAATGGTGAAGCAACGAATGAAGCACAGAACGAGAAGGAATGGGTTGAACAAGATGAACCTGGTGTCTATATCACTCTTACAGCCTTAGCCGGAGGTGCTAGAGACCTCAAACGTGTCCGTTTCAGGTACAAATCATATCTTTATTTCTCTGAAAAAGAAACATTTCAGTTTTTGAATGTCACGTAAGTTTGGAATGTAATTTCGCTTGACCCTTTTGTTTTATGACAGCCGAAAAAAGTTTAGTGAGAAACAAGCGGAACAGTGGTGGGCAGACAACAGAGGAAGAGTCTACGAACAATACAATGTACGAATGGTTGACAAATCCAGTGAGGAAATGCCTCATTGAGACAACTCTTCTAACACCAAACCGCTTCTCTTATTTTTCCACGCCCGAGTCACGTGAGTGCAGAATCTCGGGATATAACAACAGATCATGATATAAATATATATATATAGAGAGAGAAAATTAGATGTTTTTAAAAGTGTTTACGTGCTTCTTTCATTGTAGTAGTTTGGGGTTTTTGTGTGGTGTTTTGTGAGAAAGGTTGTAAATTCTTTGTGGTGCCCATACTGTAAATTCTATAAGCAGACATTCTTTTTACTCTCTAGAAACAATGCAGATGATATGATCCCAACAAGAAACAATACTGAGTAAATGAGTTATCGAACAGATTTGTAGATAAAGAATTACTACGGATTATATGATCCCAGCAAGAAACAAAAAATTAAGTAAAACTGGAACTAATGGGTGGTGTCGTCTTCATCTTCCTTGAGCTTGAATTCGACAGTTTCAAAATGCCATGGCAGAGGCGATGAAGGTAAGGAAGAATGGTGATGGATGGGCGAGTCAGGTGGTGAGCGCCACCGAGTTGAGCATTCCAGAAAATCCGAAAACTCGTCCATTGGTATCTCTTCGAGTTCATCCCAAATGTTGCTGCTTTTGTCATCCACCTTAGGCGCAAAGGCAAGTAGAAACCGTCATCAGATTTTCTCCAAAACAAGAGCTCAATCAGGAAGAGCATTGATGCATGTAGTTAAAATGGTATTTGCTAAATAGAGAGAGAGAGAGAGAGAGAGAGAGAGAGAGAGAGAGAGAGAGAGAGAGAGAGAGAGAGAGAGAGAGGTAATCTTTACCTTTTCAATATTGTATTCGGGAACGTCTTCCTTGGAGTTGGTATCTGAAAAGCAGAACAAATAAGAATAAAGCAAGAGCAATGGAAACCATAAGATAAGGCAGCATAGAGGAGGAACAAGAAGGCTTTCTTTCTTCACAATGACAAGTCATTATTTACCAAGTCCAGTGATGTGTTGAGAGAAGTAACTGTCCCACTGGTTTCGCTGTTGTTCAATGCATTTGCTGTGATCATGCAAGTAACCTTCCTTTGATATGTCAAAGTCCACTTCCTCGGCATTCTTCTTCCTCGTCTTGGAAGAAGCTTGAGGTTGCAACTTTGACTTGTTTGTGATATCATGCAGAGCCTTTCGGCTTCCAAGACCTGCCCCATTTTTCTTTGGACCTGCGAGTGAACTCTTCTTACTTTTTCCCGCAGCAACAGCCTCTACAAATGTTTAACCAAATATAATCAACAACACGATTTAGAAGCATAGTTGTGTTTACTCCAAAATTGATACTAAAACTCAATACTGAATTCACATTTTCTCCTAAGCATATCAATGGACATGGTTTCGATTTACACCTGAAGCAAATTACAGAATGAATTCTAAGCAATGAGAAGAACCTCATTTTTTTTTTGAAGAAAGAAAGATTAAGTGACCAAAATCACAAGTCTTGACAATTTTAAAAAGAGAAATGTAAGAGGAGTTACTTTTTCCATGGGCCAATGCATTCTCGTCCTGGAAAATCATCTGCCCGCGAACAGTTGTGTTGGCCATCCTCTTCTCTTTTCACTAATTCCAGCCAAATCGGGTGAGAAAATTCACCATGAATAAGTGAGAAATAAAACTACATACTGATATCAACACAATCGAACCAAACGTTTAGGGTCTCACCAGATGTCGATGAACGAATAGAGGAGTTTCGGTACAGGATCCCCAAAGAGAGGTTGCTCAGAAATGAGAAAGGAGCGATGGAGAGGGAGAGGAATGTGGTGGTCGAGTTCAAAAGAAGAAGAAGAAGAGAGCGATGGAGAAAACAAGGGCGATGTATTGCTCTAAAAAGGGAGTGACGATGAATCAGATCTGGTGCGATTTGAGTTTTTAGGGCTCTGTAAATTTTTCAAACGAATACAGGGAGCGGCTATTCTAACTTTTTTAAAAACATTTTCCCTTTCCTTCGTTAACTGTGAATTCGGTTTAATCGGTCCGGTCCGGTTCAGTTCGGAATTTCGGGTTAGTTAGCACTTTGGCACTCTAGAGTTGAACTGGTTCTATAGTTCTCAACTTCTCATTACCATTATGGGCTAAAAATTATCAATCAATAACTAGAGAGTGCCACATCAGCACTAAACAAAATGACATCTATCATTGTAATTAATAAAATATTATTATACAGTAATTAAAATTAGAATAATTAATTATTTATTATGTGATAATTAAATATATATTTGTTTTAATTTTTATATGTTATGATAAACGTATATTTCAATATATTATTAATGTAATGAACAATCTCACAAAAATAATCAAAATAAAAGTAAAATAAATTAAGATTTGCGGTGTGATATGTGACCGAAAAAATAATGACTAGAAATGTTTAAGTAATCTGCGTCAAGAACAAATACGACTTGCAAAAAAAAGTCACCTCTACTTATATTGTGCTTTGAAGAGTTTATCTATTATCTTTTTTATTATATAGTACTTCTCTAATTTACAATATATCTATTTAATTTATTATATATATATATAAAACATAATATATTTTATATTTCACGATCAATAAACCGTTTATCACATATATAGTCAATATCTACATAATACGTACATACATATTGCATATTTATTCAAATACTCAATATTTAAGTAAAATTTAAATATACGATAAAATAAATTATAACTAAACTTTTTAACTAATTATATCATAAAACAAAAATCAGTGCATCGCGCGATACTTATCTAGTATACTTAATAAAATCCCTACAAAGGATACGAATCGTCTGTTTTCCGGAAAACATATCCGATTAAAAAGGAAAAAAGCAAAGGAAAAAAATAAACAGACCCAAAACGTAGTGAAACACAGAGATAAAAAAAAAAAAAAAGAGAGGAGACAGAGTTAAGGAGGGGCATATGGTGATTAAACGTATATACATAAATAAAATATATCTGGCAGTGACTGGTTCAAAGTGACTTTTAAACAATTTGATATCATCAGCTCAAGCTTGGCCACAAGGAGCTGAGTCTTGTTGCGAGCTTTGCACTCTTATAATCCTCCCGCAGTTGAATAAACCTGAAACACATACATTCCCTATAATCAACATTCTCTTCCTTTTTCTACTCTCTCTCAATTTCATTTTCCAAATTATCTTAATAATCCTTCTCTCTCTGTCTTACCTTTGAGCGTCTGCGCGAATGCTTGGACTACCCTCGAACAAAGTCGACAGACTTGACAGACTTTCTGGAGCAACGATGAACACGTTCGCTATACTGTATTCACAAAAGTAATACAATAACAATGACTGATAATAATAAGACGAAGTTAAAGTGACAAGTAAGAGAATCAATAACATGACAGGCTCAAGAATGTTCTTACATGCCCATTAGATCAAATTTCTCATCGACAGATGGCGTACTGAAGCTCTTAACAAGATCTCCATACACGTTTATGTCACGCTTCAGTTGCAGTCCTCCACTGTCAACCAAGTGTAAGTAATCACGAAACAAAACCAAGTTTTATTTTACACAGACCCAAGTTTGCAATTGATCTGTTTTGTTACTGAATGTAGTCAAGAGTTTGATCCGACAAAACTTTTAAACCAAGATGTGCGACTACGTCAAGCATTGGGATATAATTTTCGTTCTTCATATGCTTGCAGATTTGATATTAAAAATAATATGAGAAAACAAACAAGAGCTGCGTATTCATACCTGGGATTGAAAGTGAACTTCTGCCAGTGAGTTAGTAGTAGTTTGTCTAACCTATTTCCCTAAAAAAAAACAGATAAATTTAATTCAGACCCTCATCCTTCTCGATATAGCATCAGTACTATGATGCAGAAAGCAAATTATTCTTTAACTATTAATTTGAAGCTGCAAAATTTGGGAAGGACAGGATTGAGTTGGTTTTTTAATTGAGGATTGAGCTAGTAATATCTGACAAAATCGAGGACATCTCACAAGAAATAAATCTTTTTGCTTTGTTTCTAAAGTCTGTCATTGGACCAATAAATAGGCAAAGTTTAGGTAGATTAAGCATTTAGAGCATATAAAAATAGTAAGCAAAAGGCTTAATGAGATCTTTGCACAAATCATACCAGTTCAGTCAGGAAGGCTTGCTTATTAAGACCTTCCAAGGCAGTGAAGTCAAGTACCCGGGTAAGATAAGCCACAACTCTAAACAAGAGAATTAGAGATCAAAATGACAAGTTCATTAGAAAAACAGATTAGGGAAGAGTACAATTTGAGACGTGACCAATAGATATCATACAAAATGGTTTCAGCAAACTACTAAGTACACTAATGGCTTTTTTCACACGAAGAGATAAAAAATAACGAAGCGTCTATAAAGAAAGTAGAGCTTGAGCTAGACCAACCTTATGCAGGCATTTGTTGGGCGGTGATCATGAGCAATTGCATCATCAGGTAACTTATAATCAATAGCCTTCTGCTCAGATGAAAGAAGTCTTTCAACCTGAAAAAGGCCATATCGTTTTTTTGTAAATAAAACAAAAGACAAGCATTGATCCCAATGGACCTGTTTGTATATACGCAAAAAGCAACTAACCTCAGCCATCACGGTTTCAATGCACTGCTGGAGTCCTTTATAAGCAGCTGCCTCTGCTTTGGACAGGGCAGTTGACATTTCTTCACATGAAGCAGCATGTGCACCATCCACTGGTAAGAGAAGCCGAGATATAGAATTTGCAAAATACTGCAAGAGAAAATTATAAATTAGACTAGGAACCAAAATACATAATTTCCATAGTAGAAGATCACAGTTTTAACTATTTCGATGGTTGAGTAGCAAACGCATTCTCATAATAAATAACTGAAACGAACTAATAATAACAATAAGGGAATCCCCAACATGCCTGCTGAACTATAGCAACACTGCTACCACAACGTTGCACAGCAACCATGAAGGATTTAAAGCTACTTTCACCAGCAGCAGCAGCAGCTTCTGCCTGAGAAATAATCAAAGAAATTATAAGTAACTCCACTTAACAATTAAAATAATGAGCACTTGTGGGAAAGAAAAGAGCAAAGTGAAGTAATTACAGCAGAAGCAGCTGCAGCAGCCACTCTTCTGCTAACGCTTGTGCCCAAAACAAATCTTTCCCTCAATACTGCAGCTTCAGACAGGCCATCCCTTGCCCGTTCAAGTCCCTCAGTTATGTATATGCTCACCTGCAAGAACTCATCATTGCATCAGCACAATAAATCTGAATGATTATAGAATCTTATTGAACAGCATACCTGGTCTAGCAGGCAAGTAAATATGGCTTTAACATAGGCGGCAAGTGTGGCTGGCTGCACATAGAAATAATTGTATAGATCAGATATACAATCCCAGATGCTACGGTTTACTTACTGTCAGATATTTCTGCTAAAAACAATACTTTAGATTATTTCTTGTCAATATCCTAATTCCTACATCTATTCTCAAAAATTCACAGGAACTAACTTTTTTGAATTTTTTTCTCATAAAGTGCAAGTTCAGTAACCTGAGGTGAAAACAGTGTGCATCTGGATATTGCTTCTTCATTCCATCGAACAAACTCCGTCACAACAGTGACTGATATTTGCTGCTGAGAAGATGATACTGAAGCACCCCTCGAGCGTCCTATCGTCCCAGATGACTCCGAGCCTTGCTGACTCTCAGCACGTAATTCTTCCACCTGTAGAGAAACACATATCTAAGCAGTTAACAATAATGAACATAATATAAAAGAATCTCAATCAGATAATGAAATAATCTAACTAAACCTTTGCTTGATATAGTTGTTTTAAGGAAGCCTGCTCGTGCTCTGGGTATTCATCCTTGTGCGAGGAAAACAAGGACTCTGTCAGATCTGCACAGTCAAAATAAAGACTGTCAGCAACCAACGATATTTTTTGCAGGACGACACAAAACTTCTATCACTCAGAATCACAAGAGAAACAAAATGACCTTCAACATCCAGGTCACCGCATCCAACAGCTCGGAGGTCTTTGGCAAGTTCTTGGGTTCTTTCATATGCAACCGCTAACATTCTAAGGTACTAAAGACAAAAATCAAGAGTTAATTTTCCTATCCCGTTTATACTAGGCAGATAGACAAGTAAAAGGATGAGGTAAACTACACACTAGTAATAGTCCGCCTTCTTGCACAGGTGGTGGACTCATAAGAGAGGGCTTCACCAAAATTTTGTCAAGAATACCTGTGACACGCTGCTCCAGAACTCTCTGCATAATATACAAAAAGAGTTGGTATTGCTTAATCCATACGCTGGGTTCACGTTACAGTGTCCAAATTGCCCGTGCTCATTACCTGAACTAAGATCGCCATAACTTCATTTGGAGCGGGGAAAACAGCTGTAATGGTCGCCGCTTCTTTGCGTACAGTGTCTACACATGGGAAGTAACAAAAGATATGAATCGCCATAGAAGCATGTCTCAAGAATTGCATCTAGATTAATGGCAGTCCTTCAGACCTGTAATTTCTTTGTATAAAGAAGAAAGTCCACGGGCAACATTGCTAGGACTAGGCTGAGAACCGTGGTCACCAAGCACCAACCTAATGTCTGAATTCATGACTTCCACATCAATAAACATTGGACGTGTTGCCACATAATGTTGCATAGCACTTGTACCCCTATTAAACTGAAAATTAAGAAGAAAAACTGAACATCAAGAAGCACATACAAGAGTAGAACTAAACATCCATTCCTTATGTGACAGCCTTATCTAGAATTAACCAGTATGCAACCAATAGCTACTTAAGAAAGACCTTCGTTTGGAATCTAAATTAAATGAACAGGTTTTCCTACTGAGTTGTAAAGGTGCATGCTTCAGAATAAAGTATTCACCTGTGACAAAATCTTAGCGCATTCTGACATGGTGGATAAATCTCGCCGCTGTGATGCAGCGTCAAAACGAGATAATAGCCTGTTCTCCAATTCTACAACATTGTATTCAAATGTCAATGGTTGAATTTAAAAATACACTAGTGAATATACAAAAAAAAAAAAAACACAGTATAAAAGAAAATAGTTTACCATTACAGTAATCCTGAAGATTAGCAACTGCAACTTCCAGTCCTCGGCCAGGAGTTGCATTTCCTGCAGCTGTACCCGCAGTTTGCCTTCCAATGTCTTCCTCAGCAAAGGATCCTGATATTGACAAGGAGAGCATCGAAATGAATTACAGCCTAATTTAACTGTAAAATTCCATTGTTCTGGAAGCAAGAGAGAAAAAAAGCGCTAGCAAATAATAGATTAAGAAACAATTCTAACACTCCAGACACATTTCAAGTAACATATAGCTATCGCATCATACGTAATTTCTGAGCGATAGAAGCAGCTTCAGCTACGCGGCTATCATCTGAAAACAAAGCGGAAAGCTCCATAAGATCCCCTGGGCTGCCGTTGAACTCCATCAGGTACTGCATTTGTTGAACAAGGATTACTTTAAGCATTCATCTAACTAATTATCCAACCAACCTCCCAACATAGATGCGCTCTTACCTTTATAAGCTCTATCGTCTGGCTAGCAGTTTCCCGCTGAGCATCTGCACTCTGAGAAAAGGAAGCACGGTTGAATACTGGATAGCTCACCAAATAGATGGTTATATGCGAGATTGCGAGATTAATTATACCTGCAAATGATCTCCAATTTTTGCAGCGGTCTGTCCAACACTTGATATACGACCGTCCAGCCTTGCAAAGCTCTCAAACAGACCGTCCACACCTTTCTCTATCTAAAAGGAGAATCCAATGAGACCAAATGAAGAAACTACACAAGAAAATTGAACAAAGCTTAAGTATTTGTCAGCTAACCTCAGTAAGTGTCTTCCGGTGTTTGGCATCTTGGGTTGAAACTTCCTTCTTTAGTGTGTTGAGCCTTCCGTCAACCTTTCAAAATGATACACAAAAACCTCAGACCGATGTAATGAAAGAGAAAAAAGAAGAAGATTGTATTCGGCCCAAGGACACTACTCACCTGCTTCCGCAGATCAACCAACTCCTTGCAAGCATCTTTGAACAGAGACAAGAGACCATCTACTTCGGGGAAAAAAGGAGCAGAAGACATTTGAGACAACCTGCTTGCATCAGGTTGACTACGTAAATGCCCATTTGACAAACCATCGATTCCAGCAATGTTGCCATGGCCATCACCGGAATCTGCTTCTTCTTCTAGGAAAGACGGCAAGAGGTCGTTCACCAGGTTCCCAAATAATGCATCAAATGAAAAGTCACCCTGCGAGTGGTCAAATATCAGAATCCCTTTATGATTCAAAGGTTAAACACATAAGCAACAACAAGCTGAAGCCTTACCTTGAAGTCTTCAATGTCAAGAATCAGAGGAAGGGATTTAACAGAGGATGATCTGGGACCTCTTGCTCTGATTCCTTCTGTCATCTGATTAAAAAAAAAAAAAATTACTAAATTGAAAATTCAAAGAACGGATCATATGAACATTCAAATAAAGACGTCTGATAAGAGAGCAAGAGGGGGATGCGTCGGATTCTGGAACTTTTCAATTATAATATCAATCAAAATGACTGTAGAATACATCCTCTCAGTTCTGAAATCACCGGTAATCGCTGACTCTCAGCCGAATGCTACAAAGTCAGAGCCTAAGGACGACCCATCTCGGGGATAACGATACAGGAGAGATAAAATTAATACGGAGCAACTAACCGGCGGTGAACGTCGAGATCTAGCCGGCGGAACCCGGTAACTTTAAGGAGAGAAAGACGGAGAAAGAGTCTGATATGGCGGAGTTGATGATGTATTATTTTTCACAACTTCGGCCTCCAGATGAGCTAGCTGTTAATTTAATATTTATGTACGGGCTTTTTCTTTTGTTTAACCGGCCGGTTATAGTTTTTGATAAAGAGTTCAAAAAACAAATCAAGGCAAACATCCTCGTCAAAACTATAACCGGCCGGATAAACAGTTAATAGAGGAATAATTTTGTTTCAAAGTGGAATTTAGAGTGAAATAATTTTGTTAACACATAATTTTTTTCAAACAGAATTAGTGAAATATTATTTTATTATCTTTTACTTAAAATGATGAGATTTTAAAAAGGAATGTCAAATTCCATTGTTTTTAATTTTTTTCCATTTGTACAATCACTGTTTATCTCCTCCAGTTTAATTAACACCTCTCCTCGACTCAAAGCCAATTTTTTTTGGTTTGCATAGATTAATCTAATCTGGTTCCAAAGTTGACAAGGAGGAGAGTACCCACCCGCATTACCAAAAATGGCTTCTTTGATTCACTTAGAAGGAAAGAAACGAAACAAAATGCCATATCGAGGACTCTAACAAGGGAAGGCCACTAAAATCTAACAGAACCAATAAATAAACATTTGGGATGCAATCATTTTCTCACTAAAACTTGCCCTTGGAAAAAATAACGGCATAGTCAAACATAAACGGGCGTCAATTTAAAGAAAGAGGGAGTTTCAGATTTTACATAGCGTAAACAATTAAAGAGGGTTTGAAGAACTTATGATCTCAAGGCCATTGTCACCTCAATACAATAGCAACTCCTATATAAAGAGCTCAAAGCAATGGAAGAAATATCCAAGAGTGATAAATCTGAGTCAAAGATATCTCTAAGGCACGCAGAAACAGAAAAGAATGGCCACCATTGTTTCTCCTCCACATTTTTCCCCTGTTGAAGATGCTGAGAACATCAAAAAGGCTTGCCAAGGTTCTACTCTTCTTCTTTTGTAAAAGACTAGTGTTTCAAGAATTATGTGATTCAAGTTTCTTCTCTTCACTCCTTGTATTTGGGTTTCAGGTTGGGGAACCGATGAAAAGGCCATCATCTCGATCCTAGGACACCGTAATTTGTTCCAGAGGAAACTCATAAGACAAGCTTACCAGGAGATCTACCATGAGGATCTCATTCACCAGCTCAAATCCGAGCTCTCTGGCGACTTTGAGGTCCACATTTTATCCATATATCCTATACTCTGTTTCCACTAGTTCACAAGAACGTAATCCTCATTTGTTACCTGCCAGAGAGCTATATGCTTGTGGGTGTTGGATCCTCCGGAGAGAGATGCTCTCTTGGTCAACTTGGCTATTAAAAAGCCTGTTCCTGACTCCAAGGTCCTCGTCGAGATTGCCTGCATGAGATCCCCTGAAGATCTATTAGCTGCAAGACGTGCTTACCGTTCCCTCTACAAGCGCTCTCTTGAGGAAGACTTGGCCTCTCGTACTATTGGCGACATCAGGAGGGTGAGTAAATTTTTTAACTCCCAAATGTTTCCTTCTTGTTTTGACTGAGCTTGAAACGGTTGGTGCGTTTTTGATACAGCTCTTGGTTGCAATGTCGTCTGCTTATAAATATGATGGAGAAGAAATCGATGAGACGCTGGCGCAGTCAGAGGCTGCGATTCTTCATGATGAAATCCTCGGTAAGGCTGTAGATCATGAAGAAACGATCAGGGTGCTAAGCACAAGGAGTAGTGTGCAGCTCAGCGCAATCTTCAATCGCTACAAGGATATATATGGCAGATCCATCACTAAGGTACAACAATAAACAAAAGACTTGAAATTAATATGCGGGTCTCGTACCAGTTTTTCTTCATGAGAATGTCCTTTTGGTATCTGTAATGAAACATTTGATGTCCAGGATCTCCTCAATCACCCTACAAATGAGTACCTGAGTGCACTTCGTGCAGCCATCAGGTGCATCAAAAACCCTAACCGGTATCACGCAAAGGTAACATACAACAATAGTAGTATCACAAATGTTAAATGTGGTCTCTAATTTATCGCAATACGACCAACTGGTATTCATAATCTTTTATTAATCTCTTGTACACCTAGGTTTTGCGCAATGCAATCAATACAGTAGGGACTGATGAAGATGCCCTGACCCGTGTGATTGTGACGCGAGCAGAAAAGGACCTGAAGAAGATCACTGAGCTGTATCTCAAGAGGAACAATGTGAGTCTCGATCAAGCCATCGCAAAAGAGACATCAGGGGACTACAAGACTTTTCTCCTAGCCTTGCTAGGGCATTAAGAAACTTAAGAGTTCATTTTTCAAAACCAAAAACCTGATAACAATAGCATTTCTATTTTCTTCTATTTTCTGCTCAAGTAATAATAAAGTTTCTGTTTGAATGCTTCTTCAATCACTTCTGTTGTTTAGCTTTTCACAGTAAAACTGGAATTACAAAATCATCCATTTTCGTTTAATAAAGACATTCTTCCAAAGGCCCACAAAGGAACTAAACAAACTCACTGAAGATCAGGGAAACATGCACATGTATATAGTATAGGTTCTTTACTTGTCAGCCTCTGCGTACTAAGGCTGCAGCAATACCAGCAACGATCCCAACAGCAGTAACAGCAATTCCAACGCCAATCACACCATCTGCTCACACAAATTGGAATAGAATTAAGAAGAAAGTAAATAGACGAGGAAGAGAAATGCCACAAGTACAAGTACCATGTGGTTACCTTTCACAATACGATCCTCTATAGCCGTTTTTAGCGTCTGAGCCTGTCTCCACTCCGGTTCAACCTTAAAAACCAGAGAAAGAAAGAAGAGCACATTGATCAAATACATCAACAACGATAAGATATTATTATTGGACTATCCATGGATCAGATGGTCAAACCTCCAAGCACCGTTCTATATAATCCCGGCTTCTTGAATAGTCACCGCTTCGATAGTACCCAACAGCAAGGAGATAGAGCTTCTCCCTTAGTTTCATCGGACTTGAATCACTAACCACAGAAGCTGCGAAACGAAGCAAAACATTTTTTTTGCTATCAAACCAATAACATGGATTCAAATCATATCAGCCTTTGGAAAAATTAAAGGTAGCTGAGATTCCATAGATTTTAAACATCCACAGAGAAACAAAAACAGTAGATTGTAGATATACAAGTTATTTACCTTCAAGCATAGCTATCCCACGCTGTATATCCGCCGGTGTCTTTGAATGAACAAGAGCCCACGATAGGCGCATGATGCATTCCTTCTTATGCCCTTCGTCTTGGCCTTTCTGAGCCTCTGCAAGCTCTTTCTCACATCCCTGAGAATGATTTCAAAAACGGAAAGACGCTTTACAAGTTTTATATAAATGTCAAAAATTCAGATAAACACGAAAGGGAATCAAACATCCGAAGAAGATGAAAGAGGAGGTATCAAAACAATTGGAAAATCGTAATCTCGAGGTCCCTATGCGGTCAATTTGAGGAACAAACGGAGAATTATAAAAGTTACCGAGATGATGTCGGCGTCGCACAAGGGGAACTCATCGCCGGAGCCCGAGGCAGTGCCGGAGAAGAAGCCAGAGACGGAATCGACGAACTTTCCTATCGTCGCGTCCATTTCTCCTAATGCAATCTTTTTTTTTGAGTTTTACCTATACGAATTAGAAGACTTGTCGGGAATCATATATATATATAACTAGCAATTTATCTCTCATCTAAGGTGTACACATCAACATAATTTTTATTTTAAAATAGACTTTTAAATATTTTAGGTTTTGTTTTTTATTTTTTATATTTTGGGTATTTATTTTTGGGCTTTTAATATAATTAATTTGAAAAAAAAACAAATATTTATTTTACAAATCATAAAAAATTACAAATTCTTCATTTGTGAAAAAGAGTTTGGAAGGATTTTTTGAAAAATTTACAGAAAATAATTATCAAATTTTATAAAAAGAACCTTAAAAAAATTTATATATATATGGCTAAAGTAAAATCATATATATTAAACAAACATTTGTTTTATAAACTATAAAAACTATGAATTCTCTTTGAAATAAAAAATTCAAAAAGTTATTTTGAATATAAACAAACATAATTTGAAAAAGAGTTGGAAAATGAACAGTTACGAAGAATTTGCTCAGAATAGTTATCAAACTTATTTAAAAATACTCTGAAATATTAATTCTTAAAACTAAAGTAAAATCATTCATATCCACTTTACTGTATAAAATGAATGAAACTTTTTCATAAATAAAGAAAAATAAAATGTGTAATTATATAGCATAAAAATAAATTTGATTTATACGAAGGAGGAAAAAATGGCAAATACTTATCAACCTTTTTTTAATGATAGTAATATAAAATTGATATGCGATCACATTACTCATCAACCGGATAATATATGAGTTTTAATTTAAAATATATAAATAAACTAAAACAAGATTATTGATTATAGTTTTTAAGATAGTCATGTTGTTTACATTCACATGATATGAAAATAGACAAAAATATTCTCACACATTCACAAATATAGTCAGGTAGCTCATCATTGAAAAAAAAAATGCCTCAAATCAATTAAAATCAACAATTTATCAACTATGCATAATTTTTTGATATAAAAACCCATCAAACATATGTAGTATTTGAACAAATATTTTGCTCTGTCTAGCCAACTCTAACTAAAATTCTCTTCATTTAGAGTTATAACCGATCACAGAACTGAATGAGATGGAAGCTTGCATGAAATAAGAGAAAAAATTAGTAGATTACAATCAGAATAACGAGTCTAAGAGCTATAAGAAAAGAGAAAAAATAAAAGACTAATTGTGCTTGAAAATGAGGTAGATTCCATAAAATATTAAAAGAACATTTAGTTTAGAGTGGAAAAAGATTAATGATGATTTCACTTTGTTGATCTATGAAAAGAAGATGTAGAAAAAAATGAGAAATTAATTGAATACAGATAAACAGTAAGAATATAACAATTAATACATAACAATCTATATTAAAACAACAAAAACATATAAAAAATAAAAGACAAATATAACATACAATAATATTAATTTAATATAATATATTTAAATATATAAAATTTTAATAAAATTAATAAATAAGTCCACGCAACGCGTGGATAAAAATCTAGTAGAACTAACGAAGATTTAACCATCACAGAAAAATTAAAATCGCGTTGTAAAAACAACGATCAGAAGAATTGTGCAAGTGATTATAAGGTTGTGGACCGAATCTCATAATTTTGAAGGCCCAAGTGCAGAATGTAATATTAACCTGTTTTTTTTTTATTGCCTCAAACGGTATTCGAACCTCTGACCCTAGGTTTAACTTTAAGTATCTTTCCATCTCAGGAAAACTGAGTAATAATACATGATTTGATATTTTCTTTTAATAATACATATCTAGCCATTGTTTATATTTTTATTTATTTATTTATAGAACTTTTTCTTTACATATTATAAAATTAACAAGAAAATATTACCACAAAATTATAAATCATAAAAAATAAAATATTATATATAACATCAATTTTTTTTACTATATATAATATAATTAGGTAGGTTCTATCTGAAAAATAAAATAACCAAATTTTAGTTTTTTATCACCTTCAATCATTACATCATTTTCTGTTTAAATTAAAAATATAAAAAATTAAATTTCAATGCAACAAATTTATCCAAATAAAAGACATGAAATTATTTTTATTTATTCAAACCAACACATCATTTTTACATATAATAGATATAATATCTAATAAATAAAAATAAAATTTTAGATAATCATCTACATGAAATTAAAAATGACATTTATACAATATTAATAACTTATAAAAATGTTTTAAGAAAATATTCAGAATAGAAATAATATAGAATAATTTTTATTTATTCGATTTAACATATCATCTTGACAGCTAATAATTTGAAACTTCATAAATATTTAAAAATTTTAGATTCGAATACAATAATTTTATCTAGGTAAAAACGTGGCAAAAAACTGATCACTCGGAAAAGATAATCATCTATACAAGATTAGCCATGTAATTTTATATAACGACATGTAAATCTTTTTTGTAAGGAAAATATTTAAACATAAAACAAAATTGAATTATTTTAATTTTTTAAATATAGGTACATTCTATATATACAGTATATTGCCGAATGACAATATCAAACAATGATACAATGTTTTGTTTTCTTTTTCTCATTTTGATGTTATTTTGTTTTGTAAAGGTTTGTTCCCTTAATAAGGATTAAGGTGGTAGATGTTCAAGAACAGAGTTTAATGAACGGATTTTCGATGAAAATTGGTTATTTTTTTGCATTTCATCTGGTAATTTGATGTTAATTTTTGTTTGTGATAAAGTAAAGAGATTGTTTGTTTGCTGTTGAAATGTGTCGCTGGGCCACACATGAAAAGCATGCCTATGATAAACTCTTTGGCTTTAGGAAAAATGAAGAACACACATGTAAAAAACACATAGTAAAAAATTAGAGTACCCTCTATGTTTCGTTTTTTAATTTTTTTTTGGGTAAAAAATTAAACATATACAACACACTTTGAGTCTTTGACCTCAAAAAGTGAAAAGAAAAAGAACAAGTTAAAAAAAGGGAGTGTGGGAGGGAGAGAGATGGCCTTCTCTTCCTAACATTGACCAACCCGTCTTGTTTCTTCTGAGTGAGAATTCGTTAAGCGTTTCTCTGTAGAGAATTCTCTTTCTACTTTCCTTCCCCGAAAAGAGAGAGAGAATCTCTGTCCCTCTCTCTCCTGCACGTTGTAAGCGTTTCTAGGAAGAGAGAGAGAGAGAGAGAGAAAACTCAGCGCCTCTTTTTTGCCCTTTTTTGCAATCCAGACTTTGGCTAATGAGTTTTCTTTGCTTCGTTGGTTCACAGATTCGCTCGTTCCGTTAAGCGAAAGCAAGCTCACAGCAATGGAGTTTGTGGGAAAAGTCGTTAGGAAGGAGATCGACGGGGTGGGGTATTGCTCCGGAACGGTGCGATCTTACGATTCGTCTGGATTTTTCGAGATCGTTTACGAGAATGGCCTTACGGAGATTTCGGAATTGGCTGAGGTTGTCTCTCTCGTCATGGGAGAAGGGGAATCCCATGAAACATCGGTCCAAGTGAAGCCGCGAGTTGGTAGGAGGACGAGGAAGCGGCCTCGGCCTCGGGTCGAGAGGGTTGATGAGATCAAGCGAGACAGCTCTGGGAGAGGGAAGGAAAAGTGGCAGAATGAGGTAAATCTCCTGAGGAATGTCGATTTAAATGATGGGGTTGAGGAGAATTCTGGGGTCAGTGATTGCTTTGGTGTGGATTTGAGAGGGAATGTTGATTTGAATTGTGGTCCTGTGGAAACCCTAGGTAGGACCTGGGAGTCTGGGATGGATTTGAATAGGACGGCCCCGGAACAAAGAACTGGGTTTGATCTATCCACCGGGTTGGATTGGAATTTGAATGAGGGTTTAGGTTTGATTAACGTGAATATCGACTATGAGCAAAACTCCAGTGATAAAAGGAGGGGGTTTATTGATCTGAACATGGATCCGAGCTGTGATTTGGACAATGCTGGTGTCTGTGCTTTGAATCCGCAGAAGAGGGAGGGAGGATTTGATCTAAACTTGGAGGTTAACGTGGAGGACAGCAAGGACGACGTTTTCATTCATATGAATGGAACTGACAAAGTTCAGGATATCAACATGCAGGAAGAAAATGGCGTCCAGGATAATCTTGAGACTGGAGAATATAAAGAAGTTCATGTTGCTGAAGTATCAAGCGCTCAGCTTCTGGAGGAGATACGGAAGCAGAACGTTGTTTCACTGCAAGATCTCAATACTCCTAATTCTAATGGGGTTGAGCGGGATCATGATCTGCCTGAGCATGATGCTAAGACTGCTGAGGAGCCTCTCTCTGATAGGGAGATTTCGAATGAATATGCAAGTGGTAGGAGGAAAAGAAGAAAAGGCTCAGAGTATCCAAAATTCACGAGTGAACCTCGGTTGAGAAGAAGCGCTCGTAGAATGTTAGCTCGATCTCCTGCCAGTAGAACTGCTACAGCTTGCTTAGCTGATGAAGTATCCCCTTCTCAGTCAGTTAGTAGTCTGACAGACGAGAAAACTTGGATCGCTGATGGAAAAGCTAAGACTATTTCTGTGCTTCCTCCAAAGCCACAGTTACCTCCATCCTCGCATATTTTGAATTTAGATGGTCTTCCCATACTTAATGTCTTTACCGCTTACTCTTGCCTGAGGTCCTTCAGTACTTTGCTGTTTTTGAGTCCCTTTGAGTTAACGGATTTTGTGGACGCGCTGAGGTGCCCGTCTCCTAGTCTATTATTTGGTAGCATCCACGTTTCTGTCTTGCAAATACTAAGAAAACATTTGAATCAACTCTCTGGTGAAGGTGACCTATCCGCGACTGCTTGCGTGCGGTATGCTTTTTATTTTCTTTCTTGAGTAATACATACTTTAGTTTTATTGCTGTTTTATGGACATGAGCCTCTCCTGTTTTGGTTCTCATGATTTGCTGGTCGTGTGTTAAATGCAGGAGTCTTGATTGGAATGCGTTGGATATCGTTAATTACCCCCTTTTTGTGGTCGGATACCTGCTA